GACGCTTCCTCCGGCCGGCCTGGCCGCCGCTTTTGTCGCGCTGCCAGTGCAAAGGCCCTCCTCTGCTGATGCACGTACGTATTCCAGTAGTTTTGACTGCAGAGCTAGATGTGGTTTTGAAAAAAAGCAGGCAAGCATTCTGGGTATGCATACATATGCTGCGCGGGGCAGGCTGGCATGTTTGATCTTTATCTTCTTCTGCAACAGATCAAGAAGAAGAAATGCATAAAATGTACATTTTGAATTCAGCACGTTTGGAACAGAGCAGCATTTACATGTGGCGAGCCCCAGCGATTCTCTGCTTTCCCTTGCTTTGTAAAATCCATGCTGGCATTGCCGTATGGACATCACAGTAATTGGATGACTCTAGGAGCTTCATGCATTTTTAATTTTCTTCTTTTAATTCCTTTTATCTAAAATTAAGTTCATTAAACATGGGATTTTCTTTCGAAGGGAGAAACCAGGGGACATATTAAAAAAACCCCCCACAAACTGTTCATAATTACAATAAGCTCAAAAGCAGAAACCAGCACCCCAATTAAGCTCTGCTGCAGAGCGGTGCTGCATCTTTGAATACAGGCACCGACCCTTGGGCCCAGGCCATCAAAACCAATTTTAAAATGGCAACAATACTCGGTTTAATAAGAAGAGCGCGTAGCCTGAGCCAGGCTCGAGAATGTGAAATAAAGGCTCGAAAGCGAGACGAGCCCCTTAGTACAGGTGGCTGCTGCCTCGCTTAATCCCGTGGGATTCAGCCTCGATGTTGGCAGTGGTGCAGCGCGGAACGTTCCAACAGCTGGGAAACCAGCTGGGCGAAGGACGGGGCTGGGCGAGTGCGGGACCAGGGCTGATGTCATGTGAGACAGCTGGACCTGACTAAAGGACTAAAGCTGGACCCTACTGAAGGCTTTAGTGCCCTCCCCCGCTGCGCCGGGGTGTCCGTGCCCGTTTGGTTAAGGCTCCTCCGGTCCCTCCCTCCCGAGGCTGGCTAGCTGATGTGGCCGGGAAAGCAGCAAAGGTGCCCCTGCCCTCCCCAGTGCCTAGCACGCCGCTGTGTGACCGCTGCCCTGCAGAGAAGCCCCTGTGCTGTGCAACAGGCAAATCTGCTCAAGGGATGGGAGGAGGAGAGGAGAGGCAGCCCATGGGGACCGCAGGAGCTCTCCTGCTTCCCCAAGCGGTGACTCCCATGTGCCAGGCTGCCGGAGAGGGCGGCACGGCTCCCTGCTCTGCATTGCTACGGCCAACTTCGCTCAGTGCTTGGGTATCGAAGCCTCGGGGCGGGAGGAAGTCACGGGCCTGTCCTGCAAATCGCAACGCCTGAGAGCAGGCTCTGCTCGTGACGGCAGTATGACCAGACGGGCTCGCCCCCCGCCGTGCCGCTGCTCTGGGTGGACCACCAGGTGGGTGTTGGGGCTCCTCTCTCAGTCTCCCGGCAGCATGCTGGAGGCTTGTTTGCCTTGGGGCACCGTGGGCTCAATGCCACCCAGGAGACCCCCTACTAGACACCAGCGCCTGAACCCACCACCTGAGGGCTGGTGCCTGGGCCATGGCGCCTCGCTGCTTTTTTCTGGCCACCCCGAAGCTGTGGCCAGTCGTTCCTGCTGGTCCTAGCCAGCTGCTGAATGCAGGCCCACCGGCGCGGCACACCGCAGACAGGCTCTCGCCGCCTGCTGTTCCGCTGAATGTCGGACCGAGGTGCATCTGGAAGAAGTCTCTCGAGCCGCCCGCGCCGCTAAGTAACACTGCATCAAATCCGCGGTGCCTTTGTAGTTTTAAGCCCTTGCTGAGTGATCCCGGGTTCTTGATGTCAGCCCGCTTGATATCTCCTTGCGCAACACGGGCGCCCATCAGCAGCCCGCGGTGCTTCCCATTCCCGCAGCCCAGCTCAGCCGCCGCCGTGCAGCTCGTGACAGATGACAGATGGCTTCGGGAGCTTCTGCGAAGGCAATCTCGCTCTTTGGGTGTCGAAGCGATAGCCGAGTTCCTCCAGAGCGTTATTTTTTATACTCTTATTGTGCACAGACTCATTAGATGCAAAACATTCTGCCAGTCAAGTTTATTCTGCTCCTTCACAGCTGTCACCCTGGCAGCCGCAAGGCGATGACGGATGATGGTGATGGACAGGGGGACTGTAATCAATACAGCCTGAACAGATTTAAATCAGCACGCCACTCATCGGTGGCAACCAGCGGGACGCGCAGTCTCCCCGTGTTCCTGCTGTGTGTCTGCAACCACTTGGTGCTGCATTCCTTTCTTCCCCCCGCGTGTCACACGCGCGCAGTCGTCAGGCGCAGCTTTGGCTCGCGCCCCCCGGGCGTCCGCCCGCAAAGCCGAGCTAGCGCCTGGGGGCTGACGAGAGGCTGCCAACACGGGATCTGCATGCCAACACAGGATCTGCATGCCAACACGGGATCTGCATGCCAACACAGGATCTGCATGCCAACATGGGATCTGCGTGCCGACGCGGGTCTGCGTGCCGACACAGGATCTGCGTGCCGACACAGGATCTGCGTGCCGACGCAGGGCCTGCATGCCAACACAGGATCTGCATGCCAACACGGGATCTGCGTGCCGACGCGGGTCTGCGTGCCGATGTGGGATCTGCGTGGGCTCCACTGCCCCTGCCTTGCCCATCTCGGCCTTACAAAGCTGAGCTAGCTCCGGGGGCACCAGGTCAAAAGTTTCTGGGGCAGGAGTTTTGCTCTAGGATATTTGTAAGCGTTTGGTTTCGGGTCTGGTTTTGGGGTTTTTTTTTTCAGCAAAACATAGACTGACTTTTCAAGGAAATGTTTGTTGCGGCGTTAATTTTTTCAGCACTTGTTTACGCGAGTAATTATAAGATAAGATGATCGCGTTTCATTTGCATTCGCCGGTGCCGCTGCTGTCTTGTTTCCCATAGCATTATCAGAAAAACAACTGATTGCCCATCAATACAAACAAAATGCTCGTACTAAGCTGCCTCACTGGGTGCTGAATTCCAGGAGGAGCAGCACTACAAGAGGAAACTTCAATCAGGGTGCGTTTTGTAAGGAACAGATAAAGGACAATCTCTAGCTGATACCGCAGATGTGGTGCCGGTACAGAGGTGCTGGGGAAACTCATTCCAGTCACAGATTTTATTAAGAGGAGTGACAACAGAAAAGGGCTTAACGGCAGCTAAGTGAGGCTAAGAATAACGAGAAATACAACATCGGGTTAATGTGTTCTACAGCAAATTAGCACGGCAGCAAGGCTCCTCTCCCCTTCCCAAATCAGCGGCGTTGACTCAACAAGCACCGCTGAGATTTTGTTATTTTTGTTAATGATTCCCAGGCTGCTTTTCACGTCCTCGCCCCCGCCGCTGCCCTCCTAATGAAGTTGGCACATAGTGACAGGACACGGCAGAGCACAGGATCTTCCTCTTGTTAATCCCCTTTAATACCCAGAGGTTTAATTCCATTTTAACATTGTCCAACGCCCAACTTAATACTATTTGCTTATGCGATGGGCGAAGTGACGGGACAGGCTTCCTTACGCGGCCTCTCGCGACTCCCACGAACGGCACCACGCGATTTGACACTTGCTGCTCCTGGCACCGGCCCCCTGGCTCCCGCTGCCCTCCTGCCAGCGCCCCAACGCTGCCTTTAGCCCGGGCCAACCGCTCCTTCCCGCGGGGACAGGGCCTCCCCGGGGCCCCCCGCCC